GTTGAAGTCCACACATCTTAAAGTTGCCAAGTTTGAAAAACACTCCACTACTCTTTTCTACTTTTTCTTGGCATAGGCCTAATGCAACCATACTTTACCTGGTTTCTTTCAGGAAAGTAATCACAGTGACTTTTTCTGCAGCTTGTGACCAAAATGGGGAGAGCAGCAGGGGAAAAAAATATGATTTTTCCCTTCAAAAACAAGATGCTCTGCTTTTTGACTGCTGGGAAAAAGAGTTGTATAAATAAGTGACCAAATAGACTTTTACAAAGGAAATCTGGTTTTCGGAGAGCTCTCTGAAGATTCTATGTTCTGTTATTATTGTTATTTCCTCTTCCACTTTCTATTTAGGTTCTTCTTTGGGTTTTGAATGAAGATAAAGAATTTGAAGAAGCCTTTTGCTACGGGGTCTCTGGAGTCATATCTGACTATCCAACTCGCCTTCGACATTATCTTAATGCTCATCCACCCCTTTCCGATGAATGAATTAGAATGATACTTTAGAATTGGTGGTTGAAATTTTTGATCGGGACGGAGAGAGAGAAAGCACATGGATGCAAAAGATAGGAAACTCAAAGTATACTTTGTGTCAATACTGTAAGAGGAAGACTTTGAAACAAATAATTTTGTTACTTTGTTGTTGTTGTTCAGTCGTTAAGTCGTGTGTGGCATTTTCGGTAACTGAGTAACATATTAGCAGGGGACTGAAGATATGCAAGGTCACAGCTGGATTCCACAGTACAAAATCTGGCTACAGCCCTGCTTGTAGAAGCATGACATTTTTTCAAGTTTCTGTCTCGTCTTAAATAGATACAGCAAAAGACAGAGGAGGAGGAGAATCCTCTCACTAATACTCAGCAAAACAAATAAAAACAAAAAGTGCTTGTTAAAGAGTGGTCAACTTTTTCTCTTGAGGTCAGTGTTCCCTTTGTAATAACTGAAGGGAACAGGTGGGATGATGTCAGGACCAAAAGCCGGTGAAACCATCACTATCACCCCTTTGTTTTAGCTTCTTCCTCATCTTTCTGTCCCTCTTGAGGGCCAGGTATTGTCCTAGATGGATGGGGAGTCAAGATGGTAACCACACTCACACAATTGAAGCCCCACCCTTTTGACATGCATCATGTGTGCAATGCACTCTAAAAGGGGGCAAGGCTTTGATCAAGCAGTTACAGCCACCTTTTTGCCTTTTTTTTTCCTCCCCTGCAGGAGGGCCCGTGTGGAAACCTACCCTTGAACTTCCTTGAAGAGGGCTCTTGAAATAAGCACAAGAGTTGGGCATGGCTCTAGAGTCACAAGCTACCCATCCCTGTACTAGAGGCTTTAGTTGCCAGGGGAGGGGAACAACTTAATTCAGCATTAAGTTCTTGGAGGTATGTGACAGTCATCATGGCAACCTGTACAGCTCTCCCAGACGTGTCCCACTGAGGCCGATGCCTGTTTCAACAGCAGGTATGCAAACCAAGGGATACGTCCCACAAAGGGAGGATCAGCTGCAAGGGATTGGCAAGCAATGCCATCATCAAGTCAACTGTGCAACGTTGGAATGTTCTACTAGGGCAGCTAAAGGTTTTAATGGAGGCCAGTGAAGAAAGTGAGAGATTTCCTGATTTCCATGCTGTAAGAGATAAAGCAGGGTGTGTGCTCTAAGAATGAGTGAGTAAGTTGGTGGAGTTTAGCAAGTCTGATCTGCAGTCTTTCTTAGACCCATTTTCCTTTTCCTGCTGTGATTTTTGGCACCAACGGAATGTAAAAATATAAGAGGGTCAACAAGTTCTCCCAGATGATTAATCCCCACCCTTCCTGGGCACATTCCTGGTACTCTAAACGATTCCACGTGTGGCTTACCATCTCTGGAACCCTCCTCCTAAAGTCAAAGTCTTGCTGGTGTTCTGTGCAGTGCAGGGCTGAGGCTGAATCACTCTAACTGAAGCCCTCATGATCTCTGCTATATTTTGGACCATCTCAGTTCCCATGCACTTGCCACCACTAGAAGACAGTCCAAGTTAGAGTTTTGTTGTTGGGCATGCTGCTCTCAAGCCAAGACATCAGGGCTTAATCCAGTGCCCCATGGCTGGCTGGGGAATTCTGGGAGTTGAAGTCCACTCATCTTAAAGTGGCCAAGTTTGGACAACACTGGATTAAGCCCTGGGGGTTTAGCATAAATGGGGTATCCATTTATTCCAAAGATAGAATAGTAAAAATGCAGTTGGTTCAAGGTACAGCTCTGTGATTTTCTCCTCGCTGTACTCTCACCACCACCACTCCACACTCTTGAGAAATTTGTAGCATAAGAAAATTAGAGTTTGAAAGAAAAAGAAAATCCTATGGGTCTGATACAACATGCAGCATCCCAGAACAATTCAATAAGGAAACTTAATTATTGTGTTAACATTAATCCAGAATGGATTCTTCCAAATCATCTTAACTATCAAGTCTGTTGGCTGGAAGCTGGCAAAGTAAACTCAGCCCATATTTACTGAAATTTCTTCTTCCTCTGAACACGGCACAATGATATGATTTTCTTGCTGTTTCTCAAACCAAAACAAATACTTTCCATAGTTTTTTCTCTAGAGCACAAGTATGGAATTGGTGGCTCTCCCAATATTGTTGGACACCAATTCCCATCAGCATAAGCCAGCAGGACCAACAATGAGGAGTAATGGGAGCTGTAGCTCCAAACCTGGCTACTCCTAGTGTAGGTGGCACTAAGTTAACCACTATGTTCAGGCTTTACACCAAGTGAATCCATGCTCTTACTCCTACACTCTACAAATCCCATGTCCCAATCTGAGGTTTTCAGAAGTCAGGCACAATTATAAAATGGTAATACAGTCTGCACATGGCCAAAGGCCTCCTCCATATTATTAGGTAGTGTGTTCCTCTGCTGAACCCTAACATTGAGAAACAGGTTTTCTCAGCTGAGTCCCAATTCAAACTAATTGCACTGTAAAGATTAAGATCTGATGCCTGTAATTATCATTCATTTGTAGAATCCTTGGGGTTCTCTGAGTTTGGTTGTTTTCTTGCAAACGTTTCATTACCCA